GAGGGGGGGGTCGACTGTCGAGGAGACGTGCGTGTGTGTGTATACTACCTGTAAGTATATGCGAGTGCAGGGAGCTCGTACGTGCAGTGGCCCCCTTTACGCCCGAATATGTTTAAGTAACAAAGTTTCCCGCTTTCCATTATTATAAACGTCCATCCACGAAACGTCGACTCGATAATCGATCCTCCCCTCCTCCTCTTTAAACCCAAATACACGTTATAATATACCCATGTGCACGTATACATTATAATATCTGACTCCTCTATAATATTATATAACATTACATAAATATAAATATGATATGTATCCATCATCGCCTGCCATGACACTCCAGTGTCATCGTATCGCTCTTATACTCACATCATTGATGCTAAATCATACATTACTCTCTCGTCACGTGTGTATATAATGATAATAATAATAATAATAATAATAATAATAATATATTCCTGTATACTATATAAATTTATATATGTATATAATGTATGATGGACAAGAAAAGTGTAACTTTAAAAATAATTTGATATTTCAAAACGCGCATTCATTGATATAATAATCAAGGCAGCTTTGATATCAACGTTTTGTCCTTCAACAAAAATTCTTTACACCATTGAGTCACCTTTTCATGATTTTTTTATTTTTTTATTTTTTTCAACCAACCAACAATAATCAATTTAAAAACAACAGGTCTGTCATATCCTTAGGTCGAGGGATGTACCTCCCGTACCACATGTTTCCTCTAAAAGGCTATACATAAAAGCTTAATGTGCGAAAATGGCTGGGCCACACAAACACTTAAAACTCTCTTAACGTTAACTTAGTCATTCAAATACGGCGACAATATTGTATTTTTTTTTCTTTTTCTTTTTTTCAATTTATCCTTTATTTATTTATTCATTTATTATTTATAATCTTATAAATAACTATCATCAATGTTATTACCGGTACATGATGCAGGTCGCAACCCTAAACAGCCTTAAACCTCCAACTTTGTCTTTTTCACGGAAACTACCGGATAGTTAAACTAAATTGGCTTTTCGTCAATTGATTTTGCAAAAATATCGGATCGGAAGTATGAGCTCGTGATGTACATCTAAAATTTTTCCTATACACGAGTCCGCTCCGAATTTTCGACAATGGGGTAACTATTGAGGAGACATAAGTCTCTTGAGGTCTCTCGAGTTATTTAGAAGCTGGCGCTGAATCACATAATGGTGCAGGTACGACATTAACTTTATCTATACAAAGTAATCTCTGAATATGTCATTATGTAATATTAATCGGTGGTATATAACAAGAGAATAAATTCTATACGACGATATTACGTGCACGTATGAAATCTTTGTGATGAGGATAATGTTACATTGAAGATTATCAGCAATGTCAGCTGCTCTCGATTTTTTTGTACTTGCTCAGCGTTATTGTACACTTGTTATGGAAAGATTGAACCATCAATGCTTTCGCGGGCTCTGTATTTGGCTTAACACAATCTGGACGCTCGTAAGAGAAAATCTTCGCAAAATAACATTATTTTTATTCATGAGAAATCTAACGTGATATTTTGCTTTTACACATTCATCATTTTTTAAATTTATTTATTTATTATATTTTACAGTTTTANGTGATTTTTTTTTTTTTCATTTTTTTTTGCTTTTATCTAAAGATCAAAGGAAACCCTCCTGAGATACGTCAGGTGTGTTTTGAACATACGAGTATATCCGAGGGTCGCATCTAGACTACGCTCCCGACGTCAAAGTTCTTAGCGATATTTTTTTTTCTTGTGCGTGAATTCTGAAACCTCTTTTTCCACTTTAAATATACACGTAGAGCTTTTTAGACGGACTCGTTGTACGAGCCGCAAGAAAAATGCGTTTATAAGGCAAATCTCACATTTTTCTCCCTTCCCTTTTTCTTGGATGCCCCACGTAATCTTCGGCCAAGTCTTATTTGATATACGATTTATAATATATATATATATAGATATAAATTTTTTTACAGTCGTTACTCGAATAATCAACTTAAAATCTAATGCATACATTTATCATACATTTTTTTTTTGCTTACTCGTAAATTTTGAATGATAAACGACTATATGATTTATTACCGGTGTATACAAATAAGTCCTTTGAGATAAGAGAAATAAAGATTAATGAAGGCCGTCGAAGAGTAAACGGTTCGAAAGAGTAAAAATACTTTGGGAATTATTGTTATAACATGTCGTTTGGAAATCTGAGATCAGTCTTGAGGTGGTAATTGAATGAAGTTGTACTTAATCGGTATAGGAATATACTAATGGCCATTTAAATCGACTTATTATTTTGTGAGTACATAAGGCGCTTTTGATTTGTACTTTAATATATCAATTCACGTTCGAGTAGTATTGCATCTATTTCCCAGAGCCATGCGTCTTTTTTTTTCCTTTTCTTTGTATTAAGAAATTTTTATTTATAAATCGATATACACGACACATGATATGTATATTGATTGTTTAAAAGTGCTTATAGACCTTACGATTACAACAAATTAACGTTCGGTATTTCATCAGTCATTAACGAAATTACGATATTAATAATAATGAAAATAGTAATAATATTAAGATTACAATGATGTAGTGAAAATGATACCAATAATTCAATGGATCACTTCTTCGTAAACGTACAGTGATAAGAGTGTCAGAGTACTGATATAAATTTTGTAATGGCAAATGTATCTTAACTAAGAAGTCATATGCATAAAAAAAAACAATACTCCAACAAATAAATGTTTTAAAAATGTAAATAATCGTAACGATGTAAAACAAAATAATAACTTTTTTTTTAGCTTTCAAGTGATTTAACTAAGAAATACGTTTAAAAAGTTTAAATTTTCGCAAAGGTAAAATCATATTTCATTTATGACGTTGTTTTTGTATCGTTTAACGTTTATTTACGAGTTCAAAACAACAATTTTTTTTTCTCTCGTAAAATTACGCATTCTCTTGTACAAGCGAAGGGGATGTTTTAAAACTTTTTTTCTCGTACAGGTGGATCCGACAAACTGAGCCTCTGTTGCAATTTGTAACGTTTTTCACGCCACGTATAGTCAATCGCCGAGCAAAAAGCGATTCAAAATTACAACGAAATAGTAAATTGTTGGTAAATAGGTCTGACACTTATTCTTTGATCCAAAAATATTTACTCTTCCAGTGATGATAAAATGTTGCTTAAACCGATGATTTTAAATTAAGTGTAAATTGATCGTACAAACATATAACTATTTATAAACCAAAGGTAGGTAAAAAAATGTACTGAAGTTGTGTACTTTTGAATTTTTAAAATGCATCGACTGTTTTCAACGATTTTTGGATAGAAAAGTGCCCCGTAACCTCCGTAGATTCAGTCTCTTGAAATAAATGGCGCGCGCTCAGTCTTAATCTGGGCTGATTTTTTATTTCGTATCGAGTGAAAAAAGTTTTACTCTCATCAAAAGTAATAAAAAAAATTAACAAACTAAATGTGTAAATTAAGACAAAAGTTATCAAACGAAAACGTAAAAATACGATTTCGTAGATTATTGTTAAAAATTTTAGCAGTCGTGCGCGAAAGTAAAAAAGTAAAATGGTTAGGCTCTACGGCGCAATATTGACGTTGAAGGAACAAAAATCCATGACTTGACAACGAATTTCACGAGTATTCAGTCCTGAATTTTTCCCGCCTAATCTTAATTCATAAAATATATAGAGTACCTAATATAATATATATGTATACGTTTCAGTAAGTAAGAACCGAAGAGTTTAATTGATCCCGTTTTTTACTTACGAAATAAATAACGCTTCTGAAGCTTTTGAGATTACTTGATTAAATTTTCCATCTATCGTCCCAATCATGTGAAACAAAGGGCCAGCACGATGTGGCGCACTGAGTAAATTTTCACGATCCAATAAAATCTTTCAAATAAAAACAACAATTAAATAATTCCGAGACGACTCGTTATGCTACGTCGTTCTTCCACCTAACCCTATTTTCGATAACCAAACCATCTCTCTCGTTCTTATTGTTTCATCAAAAGAAAGATGGAAAAAGGAAAAAAAAAAAAAAAAAAAAACAAAGAATACGCTTTTAATTAAATTAAAATGTAAGAGAGAAAAAAAAAATCTACAATCGTGAAAACTTTGTCACGTGGTCGTGCTGATCCTGTAAATGATTTCAAGCAGCGAGTCTCTCGACAATGGGGTAAGGGTGAGCGCAACCGGAAAGAAGAAGAAAAAAAGAAAACTAAATCAATGGAAAGGGATATAGCAATTCTTTCCTCGACGCCTTCGGAAGGCCTCCCCCTCGCTCCCTCGGCAGGGAGGGAAAAAAAAAAAAAAAAACCAAAGTTTAGACAAAAGGGGCCACCTTGTTCTCCCCGCGGTCGTCCACTCAGACGCGAGCCAAGGTGTCCTCGTCGCCTGGCTCTTCCTCCTTCTTGAGCCCCAGGTTCTTGACGGTCGGCACGATGACACTGACGTCGTTCAAGCCGCCAGCCTCGAGCCTAGGGGTGCGATTGACCGAGAGGTCCTCGACCTCGTCCTCCATGCTCAGATCGGCAGTGGCGACGAGCTGCTGCTGGTGCTGTTGGGCCATGAGCAGGGCGGTCGGGGGTGGACTGGGCGTGCGCCTCGACATGTCCATGACCTCGTCGTGGGACTCGTTGTCGCCGCCGACGCTGCTGCTGCCCGTGAGGTCGTTGTCCCTGCCGTAGCCGTTGTCGCTGCTGTAGCCGTTCATGTCGACGTCGTGCTCGGACATGGCGTCGCTGCATATCGCGCTCGGCCGGTTGCCGTAAATGCTGCCGTTGACCCCCGAGGGGTAGGGAAAGCAGGCGCTGCTCTCGATGCCGCTGGCCACGGTCTGGGCAGAGGAGGTGCCGCGCGGGGCGCTGCTGCGCGATGGTAAGATCCCGGCCTTCTTGAGCTTGTCGTAGAGGGTGCGCGAGGGCACCTTGTACTGTCGGGCCGCCTGGAGGGCGCTCATTTTTTTCTCCCGCACCGCGGTCATCGCGTCCATTATGTTCTCCCGCGTGTACTGCTTGTACCGCTTCCACTCGGGCCTCGTCGACGACGAGCCTCCCCCGTTACCTGAAACCCATTCATTTTACTTTATTACTCACGGCCAAATGTACATCATCTGTTTTTTGTTAAGTATGAGCAATAAAAAATACCTGATCTGTGGCCGTTGCTGCCCGGCGCGTGGTAGCTGTTCCTGGGCGAGGTGTTGTTCCGCCTCTCGTCCTCGGACATCTCGGCGCTGTTGCGCCTGTCGGCGTCGCGGAGTAGCCCGTTGCTGCTCGTTGCGTTGCTGTAGGCCAGCTCGAGGCCGAGCTCGGACTGCTGGTGGTCGATGCCCATCGGTTGGGAGCTGTCGGCCAAGACGCTGCGGAGGATGGCGTTCGAGTGCAGGTGGCTCGAGTGCTTCTTCTTGGTGAGGGGCGAGCTCTCGGTCAAGTTCTCGTAGGTGCTGCTCAGCACCGGGTGCTGCGGTTGGTGGTGAACGAGGTGGGGCGCCTCGGGCAGGGACTTGCTGTCGCCGTAGATGTGGTGGCTGGGCTTGGTCATGCCCGGGAAAGCCGCCCAGTAGGGTATATGGCTCGAGGCACTCTCGAGCAGGGATTTTCCATTGTGGTGGTGGTTGTTGTTGCTGCTGCTGGTATTGTTGTTATTGTTGCTGATCACGGCGCTGCTGCTGCTGCTGCTGCTGCTGGTGGTGGTGGTGGTGGTGGTGCCGTTGTTTATGATGCTGCTGCTGTTGGCAACACCAGCACTGCCACTGCCACCGGTGCTGCTGCAGTTGAGGAAGCTCGGGGCAGCTGCTGGCAGGTGGTTGGGCGATATGTAGCCGCTGCTGTGGGCCACGCTGCTGGTCGTGCTGTTGCCGATCGTTGGCGACGGCGAGATCGAATTGTCCGGCTCCTCGCACTTGACCTGCGAATCCCTCGCCAGACCCTTCACCTGCAAATCAAAATGCAATATTGTACATAAATCAAGAGATACATAAACATACATCCGATGGCTGTGTATGTATGGCGAGAACCCACCTTGAGAAAAGTCGCGACTTTGAGGAGTTCGTCGAGCTCGTTGCGCTCGACGTTGACCTCGCCTTTGTACATGTAGTTGAGGATCGACCTGAGCTCGATGTGCTTGACGTTACTGAGTATGATGATGGGGTGCTCGCAGGGATTTTTCATAAACAGTTCCTGAAAGTAGGCGGAACAGGCGGCTAGGACCATTTTGTGGCACTTGATGGCGGGTCCGTCGTAGCCGGCCACGGTGACGTCGGTGAAGGCCTCGATGGCAAACAGCTGCTCGAACGCCAGCACAAAGTTCGACTTGTGATTGTTCCAGCGCAGGCAGTAGTGTTGCGGTATTACTTCGCCCATTTTTACGGCTGTTCTCTGCTTATCTGCGAACCAAAAACAATCCCACGTGCACGTTAATTTTTTGTACCCAACTTTTTCACAATTTTCACCCTACGGTGTTACATGACAATGTGTGATTGGACGATTATCATTTTGTCGCGTACAAAACCCATAACTTTTGTGTTTCTATGGAATCAACGTAACGCGCGTGAAACGGAAAAAATTACAACGATTACACGATGCAAAAACAAAAAAAAAAAAAAAAAAAAAAAACAATATCAAGGAACAAACCGATCCCACAACAAGTACACACGTGTGCGAGTTTTACCCAGAAATGATACCTCTTTTACACCGCAAAAAAACAAAAAAAAAAAACAAAAAAACAAAACAAAAAAAACAATATCATTGAACAGAACAACAAACAGAAGTGAAGGTTTGTATGTACAATTCGCGTGAAAAATACACGCAGAGGCCATTCTGCCCAATGTACAACTGTACGTTGGTACGAATGTAAATTGCAACGCAACAATAAGAATGTCGCGTGCGATGGGTGATGGTTGCGTTTTGTTATACCTACGCACACAATGTTATTAACCTTATGTAAAAGTAGCCGCCGTCCGCACAGGGGATACAGAGCGCAATACTGTCATTGGAAATCGGGGGAGCTGTTGCACTACCGATTTTTTTTTTTTATTTTTTTTATGCCGAACGCATACGCAATAGTATACGGTGCTATGGTACAGCAGCCAATGATGTTGCAAAATCACGCAAACTCATGTGCAAAAAGAGCAAACGCTCGCGATAGCGATAACGATCGGGCGTCGAAAGGTACGAGATAAAGAGTGGATCGTTTCGCCTCGAGGCGCAATACGCGACTGACGTAACTATTATGGTGTAGAAAAGAAGAAAAAAAAAACTACAGTATACGAAGGGCCGGAACAATAATAACATCATCAAAAACACACGCGAGAGAGTGTAGAGGTGAGCGGGCGGCACGCGTGCAAAGTGAAATACGCGGAAGAACTACCATACACTATACATATGTATACGTGTTACAGCAGCAGTGCGGCGCCGCGCGGCTCGCGACCTTGAAAGAAAAACGAAAAACATGCGCTAACAAACGCGGACTCCGAGGCGGCGGTTAGATATGGCTTTTTCGTGTAACATCGACAGTGGTGCGTCTAATTCGCTTTTCGCGATCTACGTCAATGTTTTTATTTTTCTTCGTGTCGTTACGAAAGAGGGGAGCCGACGATAGAATTCGCACTATTGGCTGGCAAGTGGGTGGGCGTTTGCTTGGCGTTCTCTCCTAGGTATGATTTTTTTTTTTTTTTTTCTTTTTTTCCTCTCTGCTTCGTTCGGGTTGGTTGATCGTCGCTAAAAAAACATGCTATTGTTCGGACTCGCTTTGATTCGCGAAAAATATTACTATCTTCGAATGTTAACAATTTTTCACCCTTTCCTTCACCGCGAGCGCATAAGGGTAAACTATATTTCGGAGCTTTTGCGATTTTAATGAAAAATTCTCATCCGAGCCAGCATCGGTAATGAAATTTTGCACGGGCGGAATTTGTCAAATGAACGCGCAAGTCACGTATAGATAAAGATTAGATAATTTTTTTAGCGCACGAAAACAAGAGTACCTACACTTGTTTCACAAAGTAAACAAGTTTCATTGTTACATAATTTCACATAGTTTTATCGATTTGTTTGAAGGACAGACATCGGTATAAGTAGTTTATTATGTCCAAATTCTGTTGACCGTATACGAGTTGCAATGTAAAACAGTGTATCAGATTTGTTTTTAATTTTTACTTGGTGTAATTTCAATGTAAATGTGTGATAAATGTACAACTTAATTGTTTTCTTCGATGCATTGTCCATTAAAAATTATTTAATCAGTCCCCATTTCGTTCAATGATTTTCAGCTACTTTTTTTTTTTTTTTTTTTTTTTACTCATTGGATAACGATAAATTCACCAACTGCAGAATGAATACATATACGCAGCAATCTTGCCATTGAAATTCATGAAATTGTATCGCAATCACGCAATAGGTATAGCTATCGGTTGGGAAAAATAGGCTCAAAACGTTATCTTCGGCAAATGGAAAATCCGGAAAATATAAGCGTCAAAAAAAAAAAAAATTTGAGATCGATAAAGTGAAAGAAACCTAATCAGCTCTGCTGATAGAAAAAAAAAAAAAAAAAATTGCCATCGTTATTTTTGATTTTGCACTTTGGACGGCGAGGGAAAGAAATTTTCTACACGCAAATGCAAGCGCAAGATCATTCCCGACGACGCCCATTATGTGGAAGGAGTACAGGGGAAAGTAAAAATATAAGTGTAGGCACTGCTGTACGAATAAGAAGAAAAAAAAAGTTTAAGCACGTATTACGTATGTATACGAGAATGATAAGTAGAGAGAGAAGGAGAGAAAAACAGGCAAGCGTGAGTATACACGTATATATATATAGCAATGGCCAAGGGGTCCGTGCACACACTAGTCTCCTTCTCTGTCCATCCCGTTCGTAATACAAGATTTCCCTCCACTCTTTGGATCACCATGCCATGCCTTCACAGACTGCTTGCGTATATGTAATACCTACACACACAATGTGTCTATATCTCTATACTCGAATACTTACAAACCCCGAAAAACGCAACAGCTGCGCCGTAATGTGTACCATATACCGTCTCATCCATTGCTATCTACTCGTATACGTATATAAGGCATACTCGAATTGCGAAACTGTGCTAACGCACATCACGTGTGTGTGTAGTACACGCTGTGACAATAATTTAAACTCGTCATTTCCATAATGCGTATACACACACGGACGATAGCTCAAACGATAAAAAATGCTATACGAAGAGTATGTATATGCGTAAAAGTCGTCAGTAATTGCGTTACTCGCGAGGTTGACAAATTTTTTTAAGGTAAAAAATTGCAAGCGTATTTTTATATTACGGATACACGGATAGACTCAACTGTACGGAAAAAAAAAAACACCAATTATACAAAGGCACATGAGATAGTTTGTGTCGTCAATGGATTTTTCTAGCATTTTATAAAAATACCTACATGTCTCAAAATGCCACAAACAAAACTATTATAAATTCAAACGTTGCCTAATTGGTATCTCATACATCTGTCAGTCATTAGCAACAAGACATATTAAGAGCAAAACATTTTTTGAAGACATTTCATTCACATGCATTTACTTGATAAATATATGTATGGGTAAATTATCAATATATACATTCACGAAACTAAAACACGCAGTGTCGGAGGGACAGACTCCGAATATTTCAAAACTTTACTCCGTAAACACTCCAAGATCCATAATACCAACCGTTTCAGTTTGCTCCAATATCTCTACCTCTCACGCGAGTCCCTCGAAAAAGCGCAGCGATGGCTATGTACTTTCACGATTTTCAATAAGCAAAGAGTCCCGGGTCGGGGGTGTACTGTTTGCCTTTACCGAATATTGTAAAACTACACCGATAAGTTTCCCATCCCACAGGTGTGTTGGTACAATGAATGCTATTCTACGTTTCGGTGTGAGCCTGAGCGTCCGTGTCATCGCAATCTTCGGAGATACCCACTCGGCGCGGCAAACTTTGGCCATTTATTTCCGATTAACCGGCCATTAAGCTGCGATCGCTCTCTCTGCTCGTCCGCTTCATCGTTAAGAAGATAGTGCGTGAGATTTTTCAATATGTTTTTTATTATTTAAACAACATTGCAACGAAATAAAAATGATCGAACCCACAATGAAAACGGGGTGTTGTGATGTGTATACAAAAAAAAAAGAAAAGTCGCGAGGCTTTGTTACACGGACGATAATAAACAATTAAGTCATCGAAATCATTTGTCTAATCACTTAAGTGCCTATTAGCTGATGCGTCTGTACAACATGTATATTATACAGCTATATCGTCACTGCCGTCATCGTAGTCGGCAAACGTGTGTACGTAGGTATATTATATAGCTGTGCCGATACAATACTAATACGTACGCGTGTATAATAAAAATAAAGGTAGAAAGTACGATGATCATTGAATATTATAATACATGTATTACGCTATTCCCCGACGATGCCAATAATAATGACTTATCCACGCGCCACACCACTGAAGTTGGCGATTATACGCGCGATTGTGCAGGCCGAAGGTGCGACGAATCATTATAATAATAATAATAATATACTTTTGCGTTTCTTTTCCAATTGCACTGATATCTTTTTTGGCGATTAAAAGACAATGGCCAAAACCAGGGAGAAACCGATCGTTAGCCGCTGCTTTCGGATAATACACGTACACATGTATGGATATGAATTTTAATACGAATATAATTGCAAAGTTTGGACAGCTATATATTATACTCACAAGTGTCGCGTCGCGACGATCGTTTCCTTCGAACGAGAAAGATAAGGAATCAATGTATCTCGATACCTGTGCCGCTTGCAAGAGTGGAGTTCGGATATACCTTTGATCGAGCGAAATGGCTTCGATCGAAAATGACGCGAAAATGGCCACAACGTGTCTCTCGACGCACGCGCGTCACTTGGAAAATACGAAATGCGAGAGGGGGAGAGGGGGGGAATAAAACACCCCGATGTACGCACACGCGCACCCAGAGGCAATTTTAATGCGTTTCGACGGAAATTAATGCACGTTGTGGGAAAAATCGGGGATTATGAAAAGTTTGAGAAAAACATTACGCGACATTTTTTTGACATTTTTCGGTGTATACATGCATACGTACCATAGAATGACACTGTTTACGAAGACAAGGCGGGTATTACTAATTTAAGTATACAAATAATCTCACGAGCGAATTCGCAAGAGCGAAAGGCAAGTGGTGCGAGCGTATGACGCGTCAGCCGCGTACGCGTGTTATATACGTACATACATGTATATACGTAGGTACAATTTGTACAACACAGCAGCTTCGCGAGCGGGTGCGCGAATCTCAAGCTCAGCTGTGCGCGCGCGAGCTTCTGATGGGTATAACCC